AAAGGCCTGACACTTAGACTTAATAGAGAAGCATAATTCATTACCAATATGATTCCCTATGGTTTCCTTATTATAATATTATACTATAAAGGGGCCCAAAACCTTATTCAGATTATTGAGGCCCCTACATTAGGCTTCTTTCTTGGAGGGTCTAGTCGGGACTCTTGGGATCCACGTACTACCTTGAGAGGAGCCTGTGGCCCTTAGATTTTTGAGGGGGTTTAGGGTTTAGGGTTTAGGGCTTAGGGCTTAGATTTTTGTCATGCCTGACTGATAACTCAGAACATTGAGCGACGAGGCTGTGAGGGTTTGCAGGAAGTAGGTTTGGCAGATCAAAGTTCCGGTGTGGATTATCGAGACTTCAGTCAAGATCCGAGGGTTGGTTTCAGTTGCTTGCGCTTGAAGATGGGGTATACAGCAGGGTTTAGGGTGTTGGAGCCTAGCACTATGCGCCAGGATGCCACATGCCTGCAATTTCATGCGCTTCGTTTATCGAAGCTATGATTTCGGTATAACTTCTTCCCCAACCCCCGCCCGCCTCAACCGAAACATCCCGAAATGAGGCTCAGAATACGACAGGCGGTTTTTCCACTTCGGGGCATGGACTCCTGAAAACCCTAGACGAAGCTTTGGGTCCGCAAGGATCTAGGAGCACGCAACTCATGCGTAAGATAGAAGCTTAAATAATTTCCAATACTTCGAATTTTTTTGGGGGGGGTCCTTCCTATGGCTATAGTATGATTTTGCCCCAAAACCCTACTTAAAGTATTAAGGTCCCTATATTAGATGCGACTTTTCAGTTCTGCTGTCATATCCCTAGCCAGTAGTAAAAGAGTAATCTAACCCTAAGGGTCCAAGTACCCAAATAGTAGGGTTGCAAGGTCCGAAAACCATTCAGAGTATGGATTTTGGGATCTAAAACCTTACTATTTGGGTACTCGGACCCTCTGGGTAACTTTCTAGGCCCCAGATTCTTCCATCGAACCATGGAGCCCGAAGTTTTCCGTTAGGGTTTAGGGTTTTGGGTTTAGGGTTCAGGGTTTAGGGTTTAGGGTTTAAGGTTTTGAAGCATTTGCCAGGACATAACATGCTGTCAACATCCGACTCCCAACACGTCTGGAGCCACCAGGTTCCCTAAAGCGTAAAGAGTAGGTCATCTAAGTCCTCCGGTTTTATAGGGGATCTGCAAGAGAACAAGGCAGCTGTTGACACCTCCTCACGAACAAGTAGTACTCACCTTATGGCACTGCCTGATTGATTGTAGCAAACATATCCCTCAACTCCGTTCTTGCCACTACGGCCCCAGCCCTACAACTCCCGGTGCAACCCTATCAAATCCTCATCCACTGCTGCACCAGCAGGTGACTCTGTGTAAAGATACAATAGGGTATTCTACATCCGAAACCCCAAAAAACTTAATCCCCAAGCCCCACGCACCACAAGCCTGCATCCCGGAACCTGTTCTGTTCACGAAAGTTCCTTGTTCAATCCATGGAGGTGTGTTCCAGAAACATATCCTCAACGCCTAAGGCCTTGCCTAAACTCTACAGTCAGCACACTTTGTCAACAGCAGCCAATCCCTGAGCTTATTATCCTAAGTGTACATGTACCCATCTCATGTACACGCTGGCCCTGGGGAGCCTGTATAATGGTTGCTCTAAGCCTCCTGCTCTTGACGGAACAAGATGCCAGGGAGGGTGCAAGAGCACGCAAGGGCCATATGAATATGAATAGGGTATATGTGCATACACGCATACATATCTATGCGTATACATATACACATATGTGTATGCTTGTTTATGCAATCTTGTATATGTGTATGTATATGTTTATGTTTATGTATGGGTGTATGTGTATGTATGTAATGTATGTAATGTA